CAAGTGGATCTCAGTCACGTGGCGATACGTTATCGCAGAAGATCCTGACCGACCGCCTGATAGCTCCTGAACGTAGCTCCTGGAGCTACGTCTTGTCAATAGAGCCTGACCTGCCTGCAGTGCCTATCCGTAGCAATAGAATCTATCCCGCCCGAAGCGTTCCCCGTTCACCTGTATTCCCGAGCCTGACCCGTGACAATATATATTATTAAATATATATAAGAAAGTAATCTTAAATATCCTTAATTCCCTTTATTATCTACCTATCTAAGTTTATATAATATACCCTTATAAATTAACTAAATTAATATATATACTATTTTACTAAATTACTTATAAAGTTAATATATATATAATTATTTTAACTATAGGTATAGGCCATATTATAATAAGGATTAAAGGCCCTGCTTAATATATTATATCTTATTATTATAGTATTTATGTAACGGTTGCACAAGCCGTTAAACCACAGGGCAAAAGATCGGGCCATAATCGCTATGTAAGCAATCATGGGTGTGCTACAGCTACCTTATAGAAGCCTTACAGCGCTGTTACGGGCACGAATCGTAACAATTTAAGCTATTTAAAAAGATATAATATTAGGAATTAATTAAGCTAATTATTAGTTAATTATATTATAAAGCTGGCTAATATATTAGTTTCCCTTAATATTATATCCCTGGTTTTATATTATTATAATTATTAAAGCCCTAATAAGAATAAAGCTAGTATTATATATTATATATAGCTATATTAGTATTAAGAGACCTATATTTATATTAGCTCCTAGGGGAGTATTCTAGGCTATTTAACTATTAATATTAAATATATTATATACTAGCTATTATACTTTTAAATTCTCTTAGTTATAAAGAATAAGTTAAAGGATAGGCTAAAAGAAGCCTATTGCTATATATATTATTTACCTAGTCCCTAAGTAATTAAGAAGGTTATTTATAATAATAGCAGGCTATAAGATAAACTAGTTATTTTAGTTTAAAGAGATTAGGTAAAAGATAATTTAAATATTATCTTTAAAGATCTTAAAGTTATTATTCTTATTATTATTTAAAGCTATTATTAAAGAAATAAAGATATTATAAGCTATAAGATTTATTAAATTATTAGATATCTTAAAGGAAGATATTATATTAAGGAGAAAAAATAAGAAATTTATCTCTTAATTTATATATATATTTACTAATTAACTTATAGCTATATTAAATACTTATTATATAAATTAAAAGTAATAAAGGAATTATTTTTATAATATAACTAAAGGTATAATAATAAATATCCTATATATAATATCTTTCTTTATTAATTTAAATTAAGAAGAAAAAGATATATACTATTAAGTTAATTATATTATAATTATAATAGAGAGGGCTTCTATATATTAGTATTAGTTATATCTATAATATAATAAGGCTCTCTTTATATTCTTAATATTATAAGTAGATAATTATTCTTATATAATCCTATTAGTTAAAAGGTTATATTATTTCTATATTATTTATAATAAATAGAGGCCAGGCAGTAAATTAATAATATAAAATATAAAATAATAAGCAGTTATAAAGATAAAAAATACCACTAAATAGCTATTTTAATTATAAATAGTATTATTATTAAATGGCAGTTATGCATTTAATCCAAAGTTAGATATTTAGCCTTATCCGCATAACCGGTTATGCAAAAAACACGTGATACTAATCGCACAGCCGGTTGTGCGGGTATGAGTCCCCGAGGGAGGCCCCACATGAGTAGTCAGAGGGCGCCACGGTTGAGCCAATTGCAGGCACGTCATGTCAGAGAAGAAGTACCTGTTAATTTTTACTCTGCATCAGGTGAATAGTCTCCATATGGGGAGGTCAATGGATCAACTTCATTTAGCAGCGCTGAACACGATTCAACTTTGCGCCTCAACAGAAGTGACATCATCACTCAAGTCTAGCACCCTGGGAATCAATGCCAGTTCTACGAATCTGCACTTGCGGCGAGATTTATCCTATTCATTGGTAGTAAAGCGATCACTACTGGCATCATATAATGGTGCAACACAATGAGTAGGAGCAGAGCAAAGGCAGCGAAGCTGGCAGGAGTTAGACAAGATCGAAGCAATATCATTCACTATATTTAAACAAGCCTCGATACAATGTTCCAGAACTTCTACCGACGTACAGAGAGTTACGAGGTTCGTCTCTTATAACTCAAGGAATCTGAATGGTATTTATAGGGTAGAGTTCTTCGTGTACTAAATCTATACAAAGGGTTGAACAGAACATTTTGGCAATAATGCCGAAGAACAGAAGGTCGGATTCTGGGTGAAACATAAACAGCCTCCGATGGCTTCGGGGGCTGTTGATATCAATACAGAAGCTTACTGGGCGCAAGACCAACATCTCGTTGAATTCTTAGCACTACAGGAGGTGTTGAAACTCGGCATCTGTGGATAAGGGCACAGAATCTGCTGTTGAGCCGTATTGTCCGGCCTGGTCACAACCACAGGAGTAGAGAACGGCTCAGTGCCATTCTCTACCCAAGCCCGGAGTTGGTCAAACAACGCTTCGGGCTGACCACCCTTGCCGCCCCAGCAGTGTCCGAGAGCAGGTACCTGGTAATACTTATAGAAAGAAGTAACGTTGCCTACAAAGTCCGATACCTTATTGTAATACTGAAGCGTGCCACCAGGGGAAATGCTCGGGTCAGCCTGGGAAATGTCAGCTTGAAGTCGGATCTTAAATACAAGAGATATTACCAGGCCATGATAAGTAATCATCTTTCCTCCGGCATCTCTAAAGTCTCGTAGATCAACCTCGTTGGTCTCAAGGTTGGAAGCAAAGATCTGCTTGACGTGACGGTAAATCGTATCGAAATCTCGACCAGTGGCGTTCTTCAGTGTCGCTGCCATGTCTTTCTTGACAAAAGTCTTCCAAGTAAACTCAACAGAGCCTTCGCCTCCACTCTTGCAGACTGTGCCGGTACAGTTCGTTGGGGCAAGCGTAGGTAGATCGCTGCCAATCTCATAGCCGGGGTACATTGACTTGCCGTTCGAGAAACGGGGACCGGTCCACGAGGCATTGGCGACGGCAGCAGCGGCGTGGCTGATCTTGAGCATCGACTTGGTACTGGTGCAGTCGAAAGACTTGCCAACCTGTTTAAAAGGGTTAAATTTGCGCCGACAAGCATCAACGTCGCTGATGATGCCATCCTTGACTCCGTCCAGCTCATCACAAGCTGAGACTGCAAGCTGAGTAATAGCATTGAGCTCGCAATCGCGGGGGAACTGTTGAGTAGACTCCATATAGAATACAGGCCATACGGAATTGATGTAAAATTCGGCCCAGTTAATTGCTGGAGCCGCCGCGATGATCCCATCATAAGCAGAAGGATACTGTTGCGCAAGTTTGAGGCCTTGGCGACCACCTTGGGAGCAGGCATTCCAGTAGGAATAGGAGGGAGCCTTGCCGTAGAAGCTTTTGATCAACTGCTTCGCAATACTAGCCTTTGGGATAATTCTAAGTTAGTACTATTATGCGGAATAGTGTCGAGCTTGGTTTCCCTTACCTCGTCGTTCAGTGAGACTTGGCCAAAGTTCTGCAGCGCATTCGTGTTGATATTCCCGGGAGTTGTCAACAGCCACTCAGCGGGGCTAGCAGCCTCGGGGATACCAGCATCCGTTGTAACAGAAGCATAGCCATTTGCCACGGCGTTGATCATGCCGGCATAAGTCAGAATATAGCGACCTGGTGTCCAGCCAGAACCTCCAAGGGACTGCAGTCTTCCATTGTAATTGTTCTCGCTGGGTAGCCAAGCTTCGGCGTGAAGGGTATCGTTCTGGCCAGTGTGCGTATAGGTGACGGTGACGTTGCAGAAAGTGACATTCTGGACATTCAAAGCTGGCTGTGAGTAGGTCCAGCCGCGTGGGACGTCGAAGCTATAGTCGGGGACAACATTCGCTTCGATGGAAAGAAACTCAGCCCCTAAGAGAGTTGGAGTCGCGAAAGTTGAGGCCACGCAGCGGCTCGCAATGTCGGAGGAAGCCATGATGGCTTGGGGATATTCGGTGCAACGAACATAAGAAATGATGGCGAAACTTCGACTTAAATAGCACTGCTCATACAAGGCGAGGCCTCTCAACCTGTCGTAATGCTTTATGATGACGACAATAGAATCCACAAAGAATGGGACTGGTATTGAAGGTGGGTATCTTGAAAACTCAGACTATCGTCGGCATTGAGGAGAGAAAAACTGCATTGACAAGATGATGTTTTCAAGATTGAATCTCCGTCTTTTGAGGGCATCGTTCTGCCAATCAGGGTTGTAGGGTATCGTATTGAATACGACAAATCCAGAGCGCTTCTGCATTAAGTTAGGTATGTAAATCTCCCCACTCAAGGGCATCGGGGTTATGGGTCTGAATGCATCACTAGTCTCGGTCCGACTTCCGCTACAAAGACAAGGGTCGGACCGTATTCAATACGACGGCTAACCAAGCCATTCTCTGTCCAAACACTTCTTCGATCCTCAGAGGCAATATTGTCTATGGCTTCGTCATATAAGTAGACGATCCACAGACTTGTGTTCTTTCACCCGATCTCATCATAAACTTCCCACTCATCTCTTTTTGTCACTCCTTTGTCCTCTTGTTCACTCTTTACTAGTTCTTTCTATTCTAGTCCGTCGTTTACCTCAATCACCATGTCTCAGGAATGGCAGAATAGCCTGCTCGATTGTTCGCCTTGCGACTCTTGCTTATTGAGCACTTTTCTTCCCTGCATTCGTATATTTCCCTCCCTCACTTGCCAAATATTAGCTAACCAGTCGCAATGCAGTCTTTGGGCGTACCTCCCATCGCTTGCAGAATCCTTCTGCGGAACCTGAGAGTTTCAATTCGGACTGTGCATTGTTCTGTGGCATACAATCACTCACTGGCTGCGGCTGGATGTCAGTAAACCTCTTCTCTTGCAAGTTTTGTTTGCGGAAGGAAGCTAACTTGTCAACAGCTTCAATGTGATGAAGCGTGGAGAGATACGCGAGGCATACGGCATTGAAGGTAGCGGCATGGGAGACTGCTGCGCCTCATTCTGGTGTCTTTGCTGTGCGCTTATCCAGCAGGAAAAGGAGGTCAAGTCCCGACAACTTGCGTGCTGCGAGACCGCTGGTTACCAGCCTATGAAGGATGGCATGCGTATGCCTTGAGGACCTCCCTTGAAGACATGGTTGATGTTGACACCCTTCATCAGATGTAGTGGGACAGGGTGAGGCTGATAAGGAACTGCAAAAGTGAAGAAATTGTCTCGTTTTATTGAGCGCCTCTTGACAAGCATTTATATGTGAGACATCATAAGAATTCTAAAGATTCTTTCTTATATTTATAAGACGTGCGTTAAAAATACTAATTTCTCCCATTTCGGCAACTACGAAGAGTGTAGCTTAGATCAACTTCATATTAAACTCGTTTTTAATACAAGCGCCCACACAACTAACAACTGTAAACGGCGCCCAACCATCGAGAACATCGTAGTAACGGACGGGAACAGTCCACTCTTTGCCGCCCGACCAGATACCCTTAACCATCCTGGTGCTATCCCGGTGCCATCCCTAGGTTTCGGGCATGGAGCCGAGGTAGGAAAAAACACAAAGTCTTAACACTTGCAGGGTAGAGGCCGTGGTTCAGGGCCCTAAGGAGAGGCACCCAATAAGAGAGAACCAAAGCCGGGTCTAAGGGGAAAACTAAGGCTTTAATTAATTCCTATTGGAAATTCGAAGCCCCAGATGTCTCCACATTACCCCAGGTTATCTTCGTCACATAGAATGACACCATCACCAACTTAAGAGCAGACTGCAGGCCATTTCTATTACCATGAAATAACCCCTCATAACCATTATAGCCACAGCTGAATCGGCATGTGGACATCCCGCCTCGGGTCAAGAGACCCCACTTTGCCGTACAATTTTCATGCCACCTAGCTACGTTCCTACATCTTCGGGATGGTATTATATAAAGATGCCGAAGGAGGACTGTAATGGACAAGACTCTTTTAGCCGGAGAAGCAATTTCAACCAATAAAAAGAGTTGTTTAGTTGAGGGCAAAATGAAGTCAGACGAAATGAACATGGCATCCTCGGTGCTCAATAGACCGAGGAAACAGGTTAGGTTAAAATATAAATTATTAATACAATTATACCATAATTCTATAAAAGATCAAGCAATGTCTAATTCCCCCAACCACTCCCAACCCAACAGCGCTGGTTAATTTACAGCCCTTTGCCTTTACGCTCAATCTTAAGAGCTTTTATCCACGCCTACCAACAATGAAGACTTCCTTGGCATTTGCTTCCTTTATAGCCTTTTCCTGTAGCTTGGCTAACGCCGCTCCGCCTTCCAACTACCTCAATTGGAAGACGTTTAAAGCTAATGGAGTTAACGTTGGTGGCTGGCTACATCAGGAAGCCGTAATTGATCCCACGTGGTGGAACCAGTATGCACCTGGTACACCTGATGAGTGGGAATTTTGTGCAAGACTCAAGTCGCAATGCGGTCCCATTTTAGAGCAGCGATACGGCTCTTACATCACAACCAAAGATATCGATACTATGGCTGTAGCCGGGATCAATGTCATCCGAGTGCCTACTGGGTATAATGCTTGGGTTACTGTTCCAGGATCCCAGCTTTATAGTGGCAACCAAGCTCGCTTTCTCAGAACCATCTCTGATTACGCTATTAAGAAGCACGGTATCCACGTTATCCTCGACATTCACTCGCTCCCTGGTGGTCTGAACGGCATGGGGTTGGGCGAAAAGGAGGGGAATTATGGCTGGTTCCAGAACCAGACCGCTCTAGACTATTCTTACCAGGCGGTCGACGCTGCCATCAAATTCATCCAGGGATCTGATGTTCCCCAAGGTTTTACCCTGGCTCCAATCAACGAACCGGTTGACAATCGAGATTTTACAAAGTTTGGAACGCCAGAAGCATTAACTGAAGAAGGGGCTGCTTGGGTTCTTGAGTACTTCCAAGGCGTTATTTCGCGCGTTGAAAAGACCAACCCTAAGATACCTATCATGCTTCAGGGTGGCTTTCGACCTGTCGACTTCTGGGCCAAGTACTTTGCTGTGAGCACTAATCTCGTCTTTGATGTCCATAACTACTACTTCGCTGGCCGCCCGACTACTTCGCAAAATCTTCCCGAATTTATCTGCACTGATGCCAAAAACCCCGTTAGTTCTACTTCACCAAAATTCCCCGTCTTTGTTGGGTAGTGGTCCATCCAAGCTGCCACCAACAACACGTGCGCCAGTCGGGCGCGTAACCTCAACACTGGCCTCAAGGCTTGGGCTACCTATACTCAAGGGAGCGCTTACTGGACTTGGAAATTCTTTGGTAATGAGCCGGTCGATGGCGAGGGTACTCAAGGTGATTACTGGAATTACTCTGACTTTGTAAAAATGGGTATTATTGACCCGTCGTCGGGGGTAACTTGTAAATAAGACACATCCAGCGCTCCTACTACAATAATCTTATCTATATACACGTCTTCCATAGCCTGGAGCCATACGCCAACCTTTATTAAGATAGTGTTGCGGACATTAGCATTAACCGAGGTGAATTTGTTCTCGTTCTTGTTAAAAATGAACTTGCGATAGATATACTGATAGCCTTAGTAGTCAAACAAGTTACCATCTTTAACATAGAGGTTGCCCTGTTGTCTTCTTAACAGCCATAATCAGAGTATATTTATTAAACTGCATAGATTTGCTAGAGCGGTTGGGAATATCGCGTTGCGCAAAGACGTGGCTGCTGCGTATAAGAAGTGCAATTTCATCTAGGGGTGTAGCCACGGTTAGTCCCTTACCTTTAGAAGTAGACTGCGTCTGGTATATAAGGTAATCATAGCACACTTCGTCCTTAGGAATATAGATCTCCACCGAGTCTGAATCACTCTTAACAGTGGGACTGTGAGGTAAACCGGCTGTACCGAGAAATAGCTGGTCGTTGATATGGCACGCATAGCAGAGGGCTATATAAGAGAGGGTTAAAAGAGCCTTGATTTTATGCTAGAAGGGGGTCGGCAGTGCTCCTTATATACTAATAGAGCATTAATTAATAGGTAGCTAAGTAAACTAATTAGGCTAAACCTACCTTTTAATATACCCCCTATTTAAAGTTATTTTAAAAAGGGCTTTAAATACTTTATTATATATAATAAAACTTAAAAATAAGTATTATTAATATCTTATAATATATAGTAGTAAAAGTAAGTATAAAAATACCTATAGATTAGTAACTTACTTTTTAAAAATTATATATACTCTCTTTTATTTTATTAAATAAGATCTTTTTTCTTTATCTCTTTATTAAAATAATAAGTTATTCTCTAATATAGCTTTTAAGTATTATAACCCTAGGTATATAATACTTTTAAGTACTATAACTATAAGATATATTCTTAATAACTTTATATATTACCTTTTAATATACTTTAATTTAATATTAATTAATCTTAGGCTTATATCTATAGTATTCCTAAGAAGACTATTAATAAAGGTATTTCTAAGCTCCTTAAGGCCTCTAGGAAGAGGCAGAGCTCTTATATTACTAAGTCTGCTTATATTACTACTACTAAGATTATCCTTATTAAATCGCCTAAGAAGAAGCTTATATATAAAAATACCCAGGCTTAGGTTTATATAAGTATTTAATTAACCTTTTCTTATTTATTTCTTATATATTAACTACTTATTGAATAATAAGATTTATATAATATTAATTATAAGAAGTATAAAGAGAAGGGTCTTGCTTTTTATACCTAGGAAGACTATTTTAAAATTACTAATAAGGACTTACCTCTTATTATAAGCTTTATTAATAACTACTATAAGCTACCCTGCCTAAGTTATATATACTCTTATATTATAACCCTAGTATATATATTATATATCCTCTTATATTTTTACTTAATTATATAAAAGCCTTATAAGGTTAATTAATACTAAAACCTTATAGTTATTATTAATTAAGTAAGATTATTATTAATTATATTAAATTATTACTAATCTTATAATAACTTTATTAAATACTATATAAATCTCTTAATATATATATTATATTTATTAGCACTTTATAAGACTTAGGAGGATATAGTTTTATAGCCCCCCTCCCTGTCTTACCTTAATAGTAACTATAATCTTAAAGCTATTATATTAAAAATAATCTTAATTAGTTGCTGCAGAATGAAGAAAGTCAATTAAACTATTTTTAATAACTATACTTTTTATCTTACATGTTATAGTGGGATGCAAAAAGTATTCGCAGGTATGTAAGTCGCCCTAGCTCCTCTACTTAGTAGCTTAGTTTATCTTACATACTTGATACTAGGTTGTCCCCCTAATTTAAGTGTAGGATAAGGTATTGAGGACCTGACAAGCTACCCCTGACTAGCTTCCGAGCATCAGACTTACCTGCACACCTGCGAATACTTTTTGCATCCCACTGTAGACCCTGATGAACGGCAGACCCTGATAAACGGCAATGCCAACCAACCACACGCACCAACTGCCGACACGGATAGTAAATCACAGTCATGCTACAATAGTACTGCAACGGCGGACAAAGCTACTGAACGCGGGCGTGGGCTTCAGCCCGCAGATGCGTTGTACTGTACCATTGGATGAGAGTTTATCTAGCGGACTTGGATGGGGATATTCTTGCGACATTTCGCCCCGCAGCAATACAGCCATGCGGAGTTTATCAACTTCAGAAAAGCACGCTAGGCTTGAAAATGCGGACACGCAATCTTAGTGCGCTGTGCTGTGAGTGTTTTGGCTTCAAGGGTCAATTTAGAGGCGGAGTAGGTGGAAACTTATTTCGTCGGCCTGTCACTAGTCCGCAACTCCGCATGTATACGCGGATTTGAGATGCTAGCGGCCATTATAACAGGTCATGTTCAAGGTCGCCAGTACTTGGCACAAGTCTGAAAGCGGCCCTCCCGTCACGGAGACGGTCTGTGACAGGAGCACAAACTAATGTCGTCCAGACTCTGTCGGAGTTATCAGAGCCCGCAGTTTCCGACAAGGCGGATTTTACGTGAATGCTTACGAAATGACTGCCAAGCATGCCTTGTACTTGGCTCAGGTATATATTTATACGCCTTCGGTTCTCGGATGTATCTCGCTCAGTTGCACATAACAAAGATACTTCCTCCAACGGTAACATAAGCATTGTTGCCAAGCCCTGTCTTGTGACTGCATTTGAACCGCTGCCCACAATCTATATTTGGGGAGACA